CAAGGATGTCTACGCCCTCCTTACCCTTTTCTTCAAGCAATTCCCCGAATATGCCAAGCAGGACTTCCACATTGCTGGAGAGTCGTACGCTGGTCACTACATCCCGGTATTTGCCTCTGAGATTCTGTCCCACAAGAAGCGCAACATCAACCTGCAATCTGTCCTGATCGGAAACGGTCTCACTGATGGCTACACCCAATACGACTACTACCGTCCAATGGCTTGTGGTGAGGGTGGCTGGCCCGCTGTGCTCGATGCCGGAGAGTGCGCATCCATGGACAACGCGTAAGTTGATGTCGCTTGAAACCGTCAAGTATTTGAAAAACTAACAACTGGTTAGTCTCCCACGCTGCAAGTCTCTCATCGAGAGCTGCTACAACAGCGAGTCTGTCTGGTCTTGCGTCCCTGCTTCGATCTACTGCAACAACGCGCTCCTTGGTCCTTACCAGCGCAGCGGCGCCAACCCATACGATGTCCGCAAGAAGTGCAAGGGCAGCAACCTTTGCTACGACGAGCTGGATTGGATCCAAAACTACCTGAACAAGAAGGATGTCATGAAGGCTCTTGGTGCTGAGGTCAGCAAGTATGACAGCTGCAACTTTGACATCAACCGCAACTTCCTCTTCCACGGTGATTGGATGAAGCCCTACCACCGCCTGGTTCCTGGCCTCCTTGAGCAGATTCCCGTCCTGATTTACGCCGGCGATGCGGACTTCATCTGCAACTGGCTTGGCAACCTTGCTTGGACTACCGCCCTTGACTGGCCAGGAAAGAAGGCCTACGGTCAGGCTCCCATGGAGGACTTCAAGCTCCTGGATGACGGCACCAAGATTGGTTCCGTGAAGAGCAGTGGCAATTTCACCTACATGAGACTCCATGCAGGTGGTCACATGGTCCCATACGACCAGCCAGTGGCCAGCTTGGAGATGCTGAACAGGTGGATCGGTGGCGAATGGTTCGGCCAGAAATCTTAGAGAGCTTGGTATGGGAACAATTTGGATATCCTAAGGGCAAGAGACCAGGTTGTGAGACCAGATTGCTGCGCGGCTCAATCCGCCTGGCGTTGGAGGAGATGTCTGTGTGAATGTTCTTTCTTATGTCCAACAAACAGTGTACAAGATAACCTCACCGTATCTGTGTCATTTCTGAAATTTATCTCACAGCGGCCATTGAGTAGAGATGCGAACGACTGCCGGTATCCTGTGCCCTGTCGATCTACACCTATGATCCAATGACGCAATGCAATACGCACCTGGTAGCCGTCCAGATCCGTCATCAACAACTCCTAGGTAATGAAACGAGCGCTGTTTTCTCCATTTGCTCGTCTTTCCTCTTTGCTCCCTTTCCCTTCCTCTGCTAAATCATCCTAATAAAATCGCGGCAGAATGACGTTCCCCAAAGTGGACAACGTTCTCATCATCGGAGGCTCACTGTCGGGTCTCATGCATGCCCTCGTCTTCCTGACACACACATCGGCACGGGTCACGATACTGGAGAGGTCGCCGACGGCACTGCTGCACCACCAAGGCGCAGGCGTAGTCGCCGGGGCGGAAACCCAGCACTTCTTTTCGAGATATGTCAGTCCCGGTCGCGACATCGCCGTCACGAGCAAGCAGCGCTTGTACCTGGACAGGCAGGGCAAGGTGGTGGACGGGAGCGTGGACGATCGCGAGCAACGCATGACGAGTTGGGATGTCCTGTACCGGCTACTGCGATGGAGAGTCGATGGGATGGGTGCGGATGAGTATCTATCCGGAGCTGCGACCCCGGACTCGGGAAACGAAGTCAGTCAGAACGTGCCGTTCGGCACGGCGGACTATGAGTACGGGTCTACGGTGACCTCGGTCGAGGATCGAGGAAGCGAGGGTGTGCGAGTGCAGTGGAAGGACAGGAGCGGCGAAACGCGGTCCTCGACCGCGTCTCTGGCCGTCGCGGCCGATGGCGCGAGTTCGACGGTCCGCCGTCTGCTGCTGCCCTCTGTTCAGCGCAGGTACGCTGGCTACGTCGCCTTCCGTGGCACGGTGCTCGAGACCGCCATCTCGGATTCCGCCAAGGAGGCGTTCGTGGAGAAGTTCGCCTTCTTCCATACGACGGGCATTCAGATCCTGGCGTACCTCATACCGGGCGAGAACGGTGCGCTGGAAGCTGGAAAACGACTCGTGAACTGGGTCTGGTACTGCAACTACGAGGAAGGCAGCCGGGAACACACAGACCTGATGACGGATCGGGAAGGCAAGCAGCATGCTGTCACTCTGCCGGTGGGCGGCATGCGCGAGGTCGTGTGGCAGAAGCAGAGGAGTTACGCGAAGGAGGTTCTGCCGCCGCAGTTCGCGGAGTTGGTGCAGAGGACTGAGCATCCGTTCGTGCAAGCTATTACAGACAACATCGCGGAAGAGAACATGTTTATGGATGGCAAGCTCATGCTTGTGGGCGACTCGCTGGCTGGGTTCCGTCCGCATACGGCGGCGAGCACGAGTCAGGCAGCGTTCGATGCGCTCATGTTGGCCAAGTGGATCGAGGGTGAGTGTGGGAAGGATGAGTACAGAGAGCAGTGCTTGGGGTTCGCGAAGGAAGTTCAGGCGCACGGGGTCAAGCTGGGGGAGAGGAGCCAGTTTGGGCGACACCCGTTCGCGGGGTGAGTGACTGCCTGACAGTTGGATTGACTGCACGACATTGCGATGCGCGATGCGCGATATATCGGTCATGTGTGTGTTAGACATGGATGTAATGTGTTGCCGCAAACGACGGTTCCTGTTATGAGGGATAAACAGCAGCCAACACACACACACATAAACATAAACAGACAGATGTCCGAGACAAAACAACAGGTACCCCTGTACTCGGCTACGGCCTCGCTACAACTCACTCCGCTCGTCCGATATCATAGCAATGGATAGCTAGCCGGCAGAAACGGAGTGAGGTGCCGGTAGTTGATGAAGTGGGCGGATGGTCGCAAACGCGTGTCGCGTGCCATCTTGGCTGATAAACGACTTGGCTGGAAGGTCGAAGTGGCATAGCGAGAGACACACGAAGGAGTCGGAAAGACAAGCATACGTCCCGTCAAACGCGTCCGAAACGGCTGCCATTGGACATCTGGGCCAGATACGGCAAGCAGCGTGCACGCATTCAGCGCTGGCGCAATCTAGCCCCGCGCCGTCGCACCGGGTCACTGCGTGCTCACCTAAGCGGGGCATATGTGGGGGTCATTGTATCATTCTCATTGGGGGAATTCCAAGGCACATGTGATGCACGACCAGGCACTGCCTGCAGTACATCGAGCACACAGCCACGCCTAGACGGAGCAAGCTGCACGCTCTCTCTCTCTCTCTCTCGCTTCACCCTCCAAGTCACCATCTACCCCTACCCTACTTAAACCCGTCGTGCGCCGTACGCGCCCAAGCTGTCTGTGCCCAGCCTAAGACCGTCCGTCACTCAGCTTAGCTTTCTGTACAAAAGACAAGACAAAGACAATACATATTCTCCAAGAGTGTTATCCCAGCCGTCGCCATGTTGTTCCGCATCACCGCCAAGATGTCGCGCAAGCAGCGCCAGAAGTCCTCAGCACCAGCCCAGCAGCAACACCGCGCCGCGGCCAGCAGCAGCAGCAGCAGCAGCACCCAAGCGGCACCATCCTCGACAGCGTCCACGCCTCCGCCCACAAGCATCGTCCCCACCACCGAACGACCACCCTCCTTCGCTCCCCACCCTCTCCCCACCTCCCCGCCCTCCCGGACTACGACGAGCTGAGCATCGACCTCGAACCACCGCCCTACAGCCGTTACGCCTCCTCCGTGCGCAGCCGTCGCGCACGACGCAACAGCGTCTCCTCCAGCATGCGACGGGTCCCTTACGGCAGCACCGCCGGTCCCGCCCGCCCACGCCCAAGGACGCGGCCCATTACCCAGAACCGACGGGTCACGGCCGACCACCCGGTGTGGGAGATGACGGTGGACGAGCAGGTGCGCCTGCGCAGGATGGGCATCGACCCCGTCATCAAGGCCGAGTTCATGCAGATGCGGAGGGGGAGCCCTGCGTAAAAGGGGTTCAGGAAGCTGGGGGCCGGCCAAGGCCGGAACTCTTGCAAGACGTGCTTGCTTTGCATGCAGGCAACATGAGACCGAATGTGACGGCGGTGGGGGCGCGAAGCCTCTGGGAAGGGCCTTGTGGAGCCAATGGCGAATGTACGACGCCCCCTCCCCCTCCCCCTCTGCGAGCAGGGGAGAGCGGGACGATTCGCGGCCGGAGGAGACAGATGACGAAGTATGAGATACGGTCGTTTTGGCGTGTGGGACGCAGGTTACCTACCTTCTACGACGGAGATGGAAGTGATTTAGGGACGGAAAGGACGTTTTGACGAGGGAGATACGAACGTCGGGACTTGAGGAGGGAAGTCCAGAGGGGATATCCGGTTGGTGGGTTCCTGCCCGCTTCGGCCAGGTCTTTTCGAGGAAGATGGACCAAGGGGTTTGCATTGGTCGAAGCAGTTCCAACAACCTCGGGGTTGTTCAAACATCGGGGGGTTTTTTTGCATCTACTGTCTTGTTTCGTAGCTCAAGATATCTTCGTGTTATGTTTGTGCCAAATTTGCACGCAACACACCTTGATGGATTCGGCACGGGGAATGTCCGACGTGAACGGTGGCTTTTTACTTTTCAGCCCAGTGAATTCGCATGCGCGGAAGTTGGTTCCATTGAGTTTTGAGTTTGTTCAGAAGTCCGGTTTGGCCTTTGTTTTGGTGAAAGTGAGTGAATGAACGTTTTCATTCATTCAATTTCACTCAGTTTCACTTAGTTTCACTTAGTTTCACTCACTTTCAAAGGTTGACGATGGCTGTCAAGCTGTCCGAGCGCGTAAAAGATGAGAAGTGTATATGTATTATCAAGTTTCCGGCGAGCCAACAATGACTGGTCAAATGGCCTGAGAGTCAATCACTTTTCTATCGGCCCGGCTGGTAAGGCTACTCCGCCAACTTTGCACCAAACTAGTCCTAATCCTTCCCAGGCGCAATGGTAGCGCGCCAGACTTCTACTGGTGTTCCTACTCAGCACACGCGAAATCTGGAGGCTGTGGGTGTAAGTCACACGCATGAACGAACCCTCCTCAACTCGAGCTTTCATTGACATATCCTCAGTCGAGTCCCACGTCGGGTGCTTTTTTTTGCCTTTGCATTCTACTTGTTGTGGACATGCTCTTTTGCTCTTCCCGACACCGTGTACATGTATGCTCTTTTGACCCGCCCGAATCGGAATATGCCAACATGTCCTATGATGGAGTTTATTCCAGAAATCGTCCCAAGCTATCCTCCGAGCGTTGCCGAACATGGGTTGTCCCACGTGCCGATCACTACGACATGCGTAACAGCATCATGTTGACATCTTCCATTTGATTAAAGCACGCGCATTGTACAAACAGACCGTAGAGCTCAGAATGCATTCTTCACACCAACGCTTTACTACATTGAAGACTGCGAACCGTGACAATAGCTGAAATGAACGCAATCGTCGTCGAGAAGTATGGCGGAATCGAGAACCTGGTACACAAGAAGGTGCCGAAACCGAAGCTCCAAGAGGAATATGACCTTTTGATCCGGTATGTTTATCAACTGTCCGGTGCCGACTTGAGCTGAATGTTTGGCCAGAGTCAAAGCATGTTCGGTCAATCCCATCGACATGAAGGTAAGAAACGGTCCAGAGTCGGATCATGGGTACGATGACTATCCGGACTACTACGACCACGTTCCCAAACCACGGCCTGGAGAAGGCGGCTACCAGATCCTGGGCTACGATGGGTCTGGTGTCGTCGAAGAGGTCGGCTCGGCTGTGAAGGGGTTCAAGCCCGGCGACGAAGTGTTCTATTCCGGCTCTCCCATTCGCCACGGAAGCAATGCGGAGTTTGAGCTAGTCGACAGTAGAGCCGTAGGCAGAAAGCCCAAGAACTTGAGCTTCGTGGAGGCTGCTGCTATGCCGTTGACCTGGATCACGGCGTACGAAGCATTGGTGGAGAGGATGGAGATCAAGAAGGGAGAAGAGGCCGGCATACTCATCGTCAACGGGTCAGGAGGTGAGTTTTGGCATACAGAAATTCCCTTTGGGAATGATCATGTCTGACAACAAACTACAAGGCGTTGGCTCCGTGGCGAGTCAAATAGCGAGACAGGTGCTCAAGCTACCCGTCGTCGTCACAACGACCTCTCGACCGGAGACAACCGAGTTTTCAAAATCAATGGGCGCTACACACACCGTCAATCACCGCGAAGACCTCCCGTCTCAGGTGGCCAAACTCGATCTCAAGGTCCCCATCAAATACATCTTCATCACACACTCGACAGCTCCATACATCGCGCCTGCAGCAGCCATCTGCGCACCTTTCGGCCGAATATGCTCCATCGTCCAAACCAAGGAGATGCCAATGTACGGCACCGAGTTCATGGCCAAGTCGCTAACCTTCGTCTGGGAGCTCCTGGGCACAAAGCCGTGGTACAAGGTCGACCTGGACAGCCACGGCAAGATCCTGGAAGAACTGCGGGAATTGCTCGAGAACGGCGAGGTCAGGACGCACCTGCAACAGACGCTGAGGCTGGACGTCGCCGGACTGAGGAAAGGGCATGAGAACATCGAGGGCGGGAGCAGCATGGGGAAGAATGGATTGAGTGTGGATTTTGGGGAGGGGAACGCTCCTTTCACATGAACTACGATAGCAAAGACGGCCCTACTGCCGTATGCGAGTTTACTCGTCAAACAAGGCAAGCGAAAGAGAAAAAAAGTGGTGGTTTCCTGCCTGCTTCGGCCAACTCGTTCAAACTTTCCACCGCTAAACAAGGGACACTACTGCCTAAAGTTTCAACATGACAAGTACTTAACAAACATTTTTCATTCTCTCAGTTCTTCTCTTTAACAACAACATTCAAACTTGTTTACACGGCACGACTACTATCCAAATCGATTACCATATCCACATTATGGCTTCTTCCTCAAACTACGTTGCCGTAGAGGAGTACAATGCTCTCTTGAAACTCCTCAATACCCAGTTTACCAACATGATGGGTCGTTTTGACGAGATCGACAAACAGTTCAGCAACATCGACAAACGCCTCGAGCGTCTCGATACTATCGAAGAGCGTCTCAACATCATCGAGAGCCACCTGACAACCATTGATAATCGCCTCTCACACTTAGAGACCAACACGGTACTTCCTTTCCTCTTAGTTTTCCTTCACTTCCGCTTACTTCTCTCTTATAGTCTAACTGCGATTCCGCGTTCTATCGACTACAAACAGACTTCGAGCAAACCCGCAATACACGGATCGCCGCCCTTCGACAGCAGCAGAATGCGATGGCTCAGGAGTTAGTCGAACTGCAGCGCTCAGTCTCACAACAAAGACGACCACAGTAGCTGGTTGGACAGAGCAGCGGTGGCAGTCGGAAGGTCTGGAGACAGACGGGAAGGGATGACGTGGAGGGCAGGAACGAGGCCCTGAGTTGCAACAGCCTGTAAATATCAAACCATGCACCGTTTGTACAACAACTCGTACAAGCTCGCCCTTCCCTCAGTTGTTTCTCTTCGACTTCCCGGGCTTCTGCTTCTTTTCTTTGTTCTTGGCGTTCCCACCGCCAGCTGCAGCGGCATCCGCCTCAACATCCTTCTCCTCCGCAGCGAACAGCTTCAGCAGCGCCGGCGTGAACTTCTCCAACTGCGCGATCTCGCCTACCTTGACGCGCATGTAATCGAAGGCCACACAGACCTTCATATCCGTGCCGGACATGAGCTTCACAGTCGTCGCGGCACTGCTGGCCTCGGCGGGTAATAAAGGGCGATAGTTGTCGGACGCAGTGGCTGGTGGGCCGGCAGAAGAAGCGGCGGTCGCGGCAAGGTCGCTGATGGGGCCGTCCATTGCGTCGTCCGGTGCGTCGTCCGGGTTGGCCGAAACCGCTTCGTCGACGATCATGGCTTCGGCAGCATTGTCATCGCGATCCGTGTACTCCATGACGGGCACCTTCTGGTAACGCTGACTGAAGTGGGTCAGCAGCGCAGCCTTCGCGTTCATGCCTGCTGCGACACCTAGTGCTTCGCTGGTCGTAGAGTGACTCTTCGCTTGCGCATCGCCGCGCAGTTCGTCGTCGAACGTCGCTTCGTGGATGCAGACAGTGCTGCCCTTTCCGATTTGCATAAAGGCTTTGGAAGGGCGGCAATCGCCCGAGTAAGAGACCTTGAACCCCGAAAGAAACGTGAGGCTGACAGCACGGGCTCCGTGGCAGTGATAGACGGCGACGGACTGAATATCAGCAAGGTTGATGGCGGATGCTGGAACCTTGGATCGGGTAAGTTTGTCCAACCACGCTTCATGAGTGGTGAGAGGGTTGTAGTCCTCCGTGGATGGAGGGATGAACCAATTCAGGGAGGAGGTATTGTTGTAGCTCGAGGAGGCATTTGAAATGCACAAAGGTGCGAGACGGGTGAAACCGTAATCTTCAACATGACTGTATTCGTATAGCCAATGTAGCATGGCCGGTTCTGCAATCACGGACAGCCGCGTGCCATACTTCATGTGCTCATGCGCCCGGAAACTGGGAGATTGAGGGTTTGGATCGAGACCCGGACGCATGTTGTGTTCTGCCTGATACCATGCCTTGATTACCGAGACGGTGCCCAAATGATGGTCTGCGTGCATATGGCTGATCCAGATGATTCTTAGCTCTTTGAGGATCTCTTGGAGCTCATCTGCAGGAAAGACACGCTTCAGCTGTCCGAGAGTGTTCTCACCACAATCGAAGAGCATGGAGCCCCAGCCGGGCACCCGTAGCAAAGTAGCAGAGACGTTGCGATACTTCGACGGGATCGAGGACCCAGTTCCCAAAGTGACAATCTCCGCGTCTTTGCTAGGTAAACTGTTGGCCCAGACATCTAGGGCACTGTCGTTCTTGATGTCTTCTTGCGCCTGTCTAGCCAGTTCCAGCACTTCGGGTGAGGCCTTTTTCAAGACTTGGTCCATGTCGAGTATTGGTGAGGTTTTGTCCTGTTGCAGTTGTATCGAGGGCTCAAGGTGGAGTTCCATCCCACGATCAGCGACAAGATCGAAGTCGTTCGATGTCATGGCTTCTGTCACATTGCTGTCATGCACAGGCACCCCATAGCGTGCAGGATCAACTTGCTTCAAGCGTAGCGTAGCAGCCGCCGCCGAATCCATGGACAGTCTATTTGTGCAAGCCTCAGGCGAAGACAGGATATGCTTCATGTTCTTGCGCTCTTGGATGAACTGCTTCAGCAAAGAATGCTCCAGGACTCCGGGTCCCAAAATCCAGAAGAAGGCACCGACGCCCGTCATTACTTCTTCGGATCTCCATTCAGGCCGATTGATGAACGCTTCCACATAGTCCGAAGATGGCAGATCGACAACTGCGACCCCTCTACCTTCTCTGCCTTCTTCTAGAACCATATCAGGCGTGATAGTCTCCCCTTTGCGTTTTCGACGCTCTCTCCATCGCTCAGTCTAGTCCACTTGATTCCCTTCTCCACTCCCAGTTCTAAGGCGCGCTCGGGCCTGAATTTCCCTCGCTGGTAATGGTTGCGGAAAATGTAAGACACCGCTTCAGTCGCCGGCTCCGTAGATGGTAGCGTCTCAACCAATGCTCCGGGCCAGGGGCGTCGAACCAACACGTTAATGTCAGGAACTTCTCGCGAGCCGTCAGGCATCGGCCCTTCATACTTTTCGATCTTGTTCGTGTCGGGGTTACGAACGAATAGGGTGGCTGGTAGCTTGACCTGGTTGATTGGAGTCTCGAACAGAGCATCCAGACGCCAAGCAGAATCGAACATTTCGGAAACCACGGCCTTCGCCGTCATCACGGTTTTGTCCTTTTCTGTGAGATCCTGTGCTGGTACAACTTCCGCAGTTGCTGTGGGTGTCTTGCCATTGAGCTCATCAAACCCCGCTTTCGGGGACTGACGGTACCACTGCTTGTGAGCTCCATCTTTCTGCCCGGTGCTGGCTGAATTGGCATAGCCCAGACTTTGATATTGTCATCCATCCAAGTCGGCGGCATCTCCATGCCATTTTCCCTCTCCTTGCCCTCCATTCCTAGCTCATGC